GGTGACAGGGATTTTTTTTTTTCTTTTTTGATTTGGTTTTGTAGGAAGAATTGAACTCTAAGCTTCCTATACTTTCATTTCCCAAAGTTTTTCAGTTCCCTCTATTATAGGGCCAAAGGCAGAAGACCAAATACCTTGGACAGCATTTCTCAATTAGCCCATTGACTTAAATGATATGAAAAAGGCTATAGGTTCCTTTTGAAAGGATTATAATTATCTTTAAACACAAGGCTCGGTTATTACACCTCCCAATACCTTTAACGGCTTCTCTTGTAGCCATAGGGTAAACCTTAGCATGGCATTCAAGATTTGACACCTGCCCCCCCCCCCTATCATTTTTAACTTTGTTACTGATTAACATAGTCTTCCAGGCAGCCCACCAGCCATCCAGCGCTCACACATACCTGTTGCTTGAACCACTCACCTTGGCCTTTTTTGCCTCCGTGGTTTTGCTAACACTGTTCTTTCAACATGGATTGCTCTCCTCACTCATTAAAAACACATCATGTCTCAGCCCAGATATCACTCCCTCCTCCATCCATCCTTTCCCAGTTGCCCTGTCAGGATAGCTTCCTCCTCTTCACTCCCACGCATGGCTTCTGACTCTACTACAGTATTTACCTCTTTCTGCCACATTCCTTTTTCCTTCATTTAGTACATCTCCACAGCATATTCTTGTACAAGAATGGCTCTCAAGGAATTGTTGGCTCTCTCAAATGCTGTTGGATGAATGAAGGGCTGAACTCAACAGGCTGTGCCATCTGCTGCAAGCACACCTTTTCACATGTGCCCTCTGGCAGCAGGACACCCACCTGATCACCAAGCCCAGAAACCAGGGCTAGAAGAAAGCCCAATGGGTGGTCCAAACTTAGCCCAGAGCCCCTTCTAAACCAATCCTGAAGCAAAAGATGGTCTATTATCTGGCATTAGGAACATTACCAACCCTTTTTCACCTTTTCTCAATGGACTTCACAGTTCCACAACTGGCTTACACATGAGACTGAACATTTTCTTTTGAATGCTTATTGGTGATACATTTCTTTTTCTGTGAACTATTTCTTCATAACCTTTGTCTATTTTCTACCAAGTTGACTTTTCTTTTTGGTTTATATTAACTTAAAAAAAAAGTTTAAAAAAAATTTTTTTTAGAGAGGGGGAAGGGAGGGACACACTCCTGTGGGAGAGAAAAATCGATCACTTGCCTCTCACATGCCCCCAAACAGGGATCTGGCCTGCAACTCAAGCATGTGCCCTGACTGGGAATGGAACCCGTGACCTTGGGGTTTGCAGACTGGTGCTCAACCCACTGAGCCACACCAGCCAGGGCTGTATTAACTCTTATAACTGTCACATTATGCACACCCATCTTTTGTTACATATCCTGCACAGACCTACTTTTCATCACATTCATTTACCCTTTCCTACCAGTGTCACTTTCAGGAAGTCATTTAATTCAAGCTTCAGTAGCTTTTCCTCCATAATGAGGATGACACTGCTTGTGGGAGGCTGTGTGGGAATTAAGTGAGAACTGCATGTCAAGTACAAAGTATTGGGTTGGCTACAAAGTCCGCGACTTTTTATCCGTAAAATAAGACACAGTTTTCATTTTCACCAATAACTTTATTGATTTGGATATTTTGAGTATGTTGGCGATCTCTCGCTATTGACTTCCAGTGGGTAGAGGCCAGGGGTGCTGCTAAACATCTTCCAATGCATAAGACAGCCCCTCAGCAAAGAATTATTTGACCAAAATGGCAACAGTACCAAGAAAGTTTGCAAACCACTTTTGAAATGTTCCATCAGTCTCAGCACCTTCTCCATACCCTGCACAAATCTATTTTTGCATTTCAGTTGCATTTTTACCTTTCTTAAAATAACAAAGCATAATACAGCAAAAATATTGCATATTTTCTTCCAACTTCAATACTAAATGGCTGCACAAAAATCCATCAATTTTGATCAATTTTGTTTTTAATGCATGCTGATAGGACAGCTGTCACAATACAATCTAACAAAATTGTTTCAAATAAAGTTAAAGACAACTAAGCACTAGAGCCATTTTAAGGAAAAAACATAATGGACTTTTTGTCCAACTCAATACTATGCCTGGCATTCAGTAAGTACTCAACAAATGTTAGCTACTCTCTTTTACCTATACTTCAGGTCACAAGTTGGTGGGGTGTTTATGTTAGTCCACAGAGTTTAGAAATAGTACATTTGAATCCTGTAGTTGAGGCATACATTTTCTAGTTGGCCATACCTTCCTCTACCTCCCCAACCTGTTTTCTACACCACAGCTTCTCAATTTATGGTACCAGTCTTCCACTCCCCAAAGTTTTAAATGAATGAAAATAAAGCAGGCTTTTGAAATTGTGTATCACCTACAATCAGGGCTGGTCTATGTGCCACTGTGCACTGTACAAAACTAAGATGTATCCTTCACAATGTAGCTTATTTATTTACGAAGCCTCTTGGGACTTGGCAATGTACAACCTGCACATCTGTTTCAAGAAGCTTAAGGGGCATTCTCAGAGCAATTTTAAAAGCTTTTACAAGATGCCTCTCTTATTTCCGTAACATCTACTAGGTAGGATCAAGATGGGGGTGGTATTTCTAGTTTATAGATGTGGTAGGAGGCACAGATCTAGTAAGCCAGAAGTGTGACCCCAAGTATCTTGAAATGCAGACTGGGGCTGTGAAGGACTAAGACATCAAGTCACTGCTTGGTACCCTGTCAAAGGCAAGATTAAGCTTCTGGATTTCCAGAGGCCTCCCAGAGACTGTCAAGGAAAAGCTGTAATAGAAATTACTACCTCTGTAACAAAACTATAGATGGAATTAGGCTAGGTAACCTCATGTTTTACAAAGTATGTTCATACGCCCATCATAACATTTGTTTATTAACAAAGCCTTGTAAGAATGGACAAGAATTACTATACCCATTTTAGGGTCTTCAGATACTGAATTTGGGGGTTCTGCCTCTAAAAATATCTTCCTCCAAAGGATTAAAAGGCAGTAATACTTACCAGTCTAAAGGAATTGTGGCAAAGTATGACGTTTGAAATGATGTGTATAAAATCCAGGGAGACAGTGACAGCCACCCAGCTATCAGTTACAGTTTCAAGGTATTGTCTAAACACACACACACGCACGCACGCACGCACGCACAACATATACATGCAGTTTCTAATGCACAAACTAGTGGAAAATTTTCAGACTGACAACTTGTCACTGGAAACTGAATATGCAAAAATAAAGAGCAAAACAAACCCGAGTCCAACCACCTCATTAATAGCTGAGGTCTTTATTTCAATTTGTATGTACAGTAAAAGTGCTGCTGAGAATCTGCAGCAACCAGACAAACATAAATGTAATTCTCTCTCAACAATTAGCAGCTTAAGATCTATCAACTACAGTGTTAACGTTCACACGTTCACAAGTGTCATTTCTGTACTTTTCAATTCGTGCAAGTGAGTTTTTACTCTTACACACCTTGATAAAACACACTTACAGTCTAGTAGTCAATCCTACTGAGGGTATCACCTAGCATACATAACAGACAGAAATGTTAACTCTTAGGGCCACATTCAAAATCCCCAGTCTCATTTTGGGGCGAGAACCATAATTCTGCCTTTGTGAATTTGTGGATTATATTTGGTTTTGTTTTGGATGCGTATTTTCCAAAGCTGGAAGGCAGCTCCTTACTGGAACTCACTTGGAATTCAGCATTTCATCTGACTGTATCTCAAAGGAATATGGAATTAGAAACAAAACCAAATGCAGTGCAAACCACGTGAAAATATGCTCATTAATAGGATATGGCTAGCGAGGAAGGCTTAATCCCGGTATTATTCTTGGTATCAGATTTTTACCTTAATTGGGTGGAGGAGGTACAGGAGAGAGAGGGGGCACCACAGACAGTGAAGTGTAAAATTCAACCTACTTTTGCTTATGGAGCCCAGTGGAATAGAAAGCCTTCCTTGCTAGGATGCACTGAGTATATACCAAGGAATTGAAATTGGAGCAGACAGACATATCCTTCAATTATCATAAAAAAGGTAAAATATTAGTTATTCTACAACCTGGAGAGTCACCCAGGCTACCACAGCCAGCCTCAGGCACCACCACTAGCAAGTAATCCAGGAATGCTTCATTTCAAAAGGAATGCATGTAGTCTTTAAAAGAGAAGAAGCATTAAAATGAGGGGAATTTTCCACCCATAGAAAAATTGTTAAACCATTAGAGCGAGGTTATAGAAGGGCTTTGAATAAACCAGAGAATCCAAGAACAGCCACAATGCAAAGAAACTCAAAGGTAATAGGTATGGGTGGCAGAAAATGGGGAAAAGCATCAAAACAGATTCATGGTTACAAACAGCATTAAAAGCAGACAACTGTTTGGCCTGGTGAACAATTAAAGAGACAAAAGAGCTAGAAGGCCATTACTATGCCTGACCCAGCCTGGAGGGACTTCCTAAAACAGTTTGACAGAGGAGGATGGAAAGTTAGCACAGGCATGTTTGGCTGGGAGCTCAGGGGGCTTTCCAGAGGTGAAAACCTTCCTTTGATAGAAACCATTCCAAGGCATCTGGAACAATTTCAATTCATCTATCACAGTGACTTCAAGTGCCCACAAAATTTAGTAGCCTCTACATGGTTTACAGGTCTCAATGGTTCCATCTTAGAAAAACTGGAGGACTATGGCTAGAGAATCCTTTCAATAACTTTGTGGGGCTCTCTACTCTGAGCCGTAAGTTACAGCAAAAAGGATAAACTGCTAGTTCGACAAGGTCATGTGTCCTTTGGTACTCCTGTCTAAAGTCACTGCAATATTTTTAAGCAAAGTTAACATTTTAAATACATACGTTTGAGAACAATTGTTTTTGGCCTGAACATGAAATGGTTCCAATTATTAAAAAAAAACCAAAACAAAAAACCCCCCGTGATTAAAAAAAAACCCCCAAAACCAAACAAACCGCCCCCCTACCCCAACCCTGGTCCCTGCTCTTGCACTAATTTTGAGAGATCAACAGAGCTAACAGATGTGCTACAATCATCTGGGAATGGAATGAAGACTGGGGTTCCTGAGTTAAAATATCAAAATGTTTATGGTAACAACATGCTGACTGAGAAGGTCAGCCTGCCAAAGCCACAGGAGGCTAGAGCTGTCATGTAAACCATGCTTTCAGACAGACAAGGCAATGCTAATCTGGTTTCCATGGAATTTCCCAGGATGGGGGAAATAGGCAAAGCATACTCTGTTACTATTTTGGGGGCACATCTTGTGCCCCTTGCTCATCACTTGGTTGCACAGAGCTGAGGCCAAGAGGGAACAACATTTTGTGATTCAATATGACAGATATGAAAAGATTAGCCAAACTTTCTAGATAAGCTCTGAAAGCCCAAGTTCTACCAGGACGGTGGAACTGGTTATAGGATGGGGAAGAAGTCACAGTCTATTTTTTAGAACTGTTTACAAAAGTCCACTGAGCATAGTTACGTTAATAAGTCAGTCTATATAAATAGGAAGCTGACAACATTTACACCCCAAACTTGGTTCCTTCTAACCTGATATCTCCTCTGCTCTTTAGGGAGAATCACCTTTAATTGATTCTCTCAGGCAGACAAAATAAAGCTTTGAAATTAAGGATGCAGAGGCCAAAACATAGATAGAAGATTCAAAATCACTTTGGTTTCAGTAATTAGAGTGTTAAAAAATAAATTAAGGAAACACAAGGAATTTTTATGACTCTCTTCAATAGTCTCAATTTTTCCTAAAGAAAACCCCAGCCCAAAATCAGAGTGATCATTTACTTGGGGCAAAAAATTTCTACCTGTCATGCTGGTTTGTGGAAACAGCTTCTCCCTGCACACCCCTTTCCTCTCCAACCAAGCCAAGCCCATGAAGTGGTGGGGTGGGGGCAGCAAACACCAAAAAGCAGCAGCAGCAGCCAGAAGAGGGAGTTTAAGCTGCATCACAAAACAAGGGCATCAGAGGGCAGCATTTATAGCAAGTCTTCCTTTACTCAAACTGTTTCAAGACAGGAGGGAGCAGCACACTTAAATATCCACACATTTCTTCATTTAAAAACATCACTTCTTTATTTCAAAGGAAAAATAAAAGACCCTCCCCCAACCCTTTCCAAAAAAACCCAATAATAATAATAACAATAATAAAAAATCCTATTAGAAACCATAAGGAAGCACTGAGAGTTTGAGTAGTACATTCTTCAAGTATGCTGTTCGGGTTTTTTGTTTTTTTAGATTGGTGACTATACACATATTTAAAAAAAAAACAACAAAACTTAAAAGTGCGGCCATGAGATTTTGCTTAAAATTAAGTATTTGGAGGGCTACTTCAAAATACCGTAGTAGGACTGTGCAGTGATCCTGTGGGGCATGATGTTCTCACTTTTGTATCCTAGCAAAGGTTAAGGGACTAGGTTCAAAAGCGACCATACTTCCAGCGTTAATGTGAGTGAAACTTGGGTGAAAAAGCCAGGGAGATCCATGTGTTCTTCCACGGACAAGGAAAATCCACACTGAATCCAAAAATTCAGACATGGAATGTGGTAGGATTTCACAGTAAAGTTAGTCTGGGAGGAAAAGAGGTGGTGAGCCCAGACAAGGCAGGGTGTTAGGTTTAACGAGTTTCCCTAATCAGGTTTTCACATCTTTTTAGTGGGTTTTAGTGCAGTCCTTCAAGCCACAATTTAGATGCCCTTCAGTGTGCTCCAGATGTTGGTTCATGTTAAAGGACTGTTTAAGATTTGCATCCCAAGGAAAATCATGCTACATAAAAATGATCCAAGATTTTTGCCCAAAAAACTTCTTGGATAAAATCTAAAAAATACTATTGCAATTGCGTCTCTTGAAGAAAAAAAACATTATTCTAAATGTAAACAGATTCACTCAACTCTTTTGTTGTTGTAGAAAACTTCAGAGTAGGTACTTTGCTGTCTAATTCTTTGCTGCATGCACTCGCCAGAGGGTAGGGGAGCACTGCCTTCTTTTGCCAACATCATCTGGGGGATGAAAAGAACCGTTCCACATAGCTGAAGAGGGCATCCCAGTGCTTCCAGAGAAAGGCAATGAAAACCACAAGGAATAAAGTGCTGAACGTCCTGTTGCGAGTCTTCATTAGAGGAACCACACAGTTGGCTACTGTGGAGACAAAGACCAAAAGAACTGCCATGACAGCCAGAAGAATGTTGATGAGTTTGCCCAGCAGGTTCCGGGCTGTGGCATTCTCCAGCCCTTCCAGCTGTACCACCTGCTGCTGCTGCTGCTGCAGCTCCATCTTGGAGATGCGGGTCTGGCACGCCTCCAGGGCCTCCTGTGGGCCAGAACAGGGAATAGTTAAGCCTTTCACACTCAAGTAATCTGAGTCACTGACTAGCCCCTTGGGCAAGCCAGATGCATCTTGAGCTATGCCAATGATTTTAAATATGCTAGAGTGACCAAAGCATCATGGCGGAATGAGAAGACTTCTTTGTTTCTCCCTTAAATTTACAAGTCAGATAACTATAACTCAACAAAGGATCCCCTGCTCAACATGCAAACATGTCTAAAACATCAACACATCAGAACATCTGAAGAGGCAGGCAAAGAAGACCAAGCCCTGGTCAGGTGGCTCACTTGGTTGGAGCATCATACTGTACACCAAACGGTTGCAAGTCCCCAGTCACAGTATATAACTATGTTACAGGTTCAATCTCCCAGATGGAGCATGTACGGGAGGCAACCGATGGACGTTTCTCTCATTTCTTTCTCTCCCCCTCCCTCCCTCCCTCTCTCCCTCTCTCTCTCTCTCTCTCAAATCAATGAAAATATCCTCAGGTGAGGATTTAAAAAAAAACAATCTTCCAGTCAAGACTGTGGTATACACAGACATGGCTTTCCTCTTTGCACAACCACATCAAAATTACAACTAAAATATAGAACAACAATCACACAGAATCGTCAGAAATTGAGTTGAATGGAAGTCTAAGAACTATGAAATTAAAGAAACCACATTTACTGAGACTAAGCCAGCAAGCTGGTGCCATTTGAGACTCCATTGACAAGGCTTACACTGTTTTGACCCACCTTGGAGATCCCCAGAGACTCCACCCTGCCCAATTTAAGGGCCCACCCAAGCTGCTTTTCCATACGAACGACCGGTCTTGGCTTATGCTTCACAACTTCCTAAATCCTATCCAACAGGCAACAGCTGGCCTTAGATTCAGAGCTTGGCTTTGCCTAGGAATCTCCAAGCCCAGCACAAGTAGCCATCTCAGACTGCTTTACAGCTCAGGAAGGGTGGGCCCCGGGCAAAACGCAGGTGGGGGCTGACCTTGGCCTGCATCACCTGAGAAACACCAGGGCCAGTACACCCAGCGCACAGCTACAGACCACTTGGGAGCTCTTCCACCCTGCCCCTGAACAGAGGGCAAAGGTTAGTGGTAAGTGGTCACAGAAAATCCTTGCAGCTGACTGGCCTGGGTAAATCCCTCCCAATGATCTGCCAACAGCAACCAAGGCTCAGCTATGAGGGTATACTCAGCCCACACAAAGGGCATACCTCAAGTACCCAGGCTTGCATGATAGGGGAGGCTGTGCCACAGGACCATACAGGATACCTACTACATTAGGCCATGCTACGAAGACATGGAGCCAGAGCAGCTCTACCTAATACATAGAAACAAACACAGGGAAGCTGCCAAAACAATAAGACAAAAGAAACAAAGAAAGAACAGATCAAAACTCCCAAAAAGAACTAAACAAAATGGAGACAAGCAACCTATCAGATGTAGAGTTCAAAACACTGATTATACGAATGCTCGAGGAATTTAGTGAGGACCTCAACAGCATAAAAAAGATCCAGTCAGAAACAAAGGATACACTAATTGAAATAAAGAACAATATTTAGGAAAACAATAGTAGAGTGGATGAAGCCAAGAATCAAATCAATGATTTGGAATATAAGGAAGCAAAAAACAACCAATCAGAACAAGAAGAAGAAAAGGATTAAAAAAAAAAGCAACAACCCCTGAGAATAGTGTAAGCAGCCTCTGGGACAACTCTAAGAAGACCATCATTGGCATCATATGGGTGCCAGAAGAAGGGAAAGACCAAGAAATTGGCAACATATTTGAAAAAATAATGAAAGAAAACTTCCCTAATTTGGTGAAGGAAATAGACATGAGAGTCTAGGTAGCAGAGTCCCAAACAAGATGGACGCAAAGAGGCCCACTCCAAGACACATCACTGTTAAAATGCCAAAGGTTAAATATAAAGAGAGAATCTTCAAAGCAGCAAAAGAAAAGCAGTTACCTACAGGGGAGTTCCCATAAGACTGCCAGCTCATTTCTCAAAAGAAACATTGCAGGCTAGAAGGGATTGGCAAGGAATGTTCAGTCATGAAAAGCAGGGACCTACAGCCAAGATTGCTCTACCCAGCAAAGCTATCATTTAGAATGGAAGGGACAGATAAAGAGCTTCCCAGACAAGAAAAAACTCAAGGACTTCATTATCACCAAACCACTATTATATAAAATGTTAAAAGGATTTTTTAAGAAAAAGATCAAAACTATGAACAATAAAATGGCAAAAAATATGGATCTATCAACAACTGAATCTACAAAACAAACCAAGCCAACAAGAATGGAGAGAATATCACGGATACAGGGAGTGTTTGGATGGGTGCCAGATGGGAGGGGTGTGTGGGAGAATGGATGCAGAGGTGAGGGGATTAAGAAGTCCAAATTGGTAGTTAAAGTAGCCTTGGGGATATAAAGTATGGTATAGGAAATGCAGTAGCTAAGAACTTAATACCCATGACTCATGGACATGAACAGTGGTAGAGCCTGAGGGAACAGGTGTGCTGGGTGGAGGGTGAAGGGTGATCAAAGGGGGAAAAAAATCAGGACAACTGTAATAGCATAATCAATAAAATGTAATTAAAAAAAAAAAAAACAAGTATCAAAAAGAAGGCTGAGCAGACCAGTTAACAGAGGTGTTGGCAGCTGGGTGAAGCTATGAGATCATAAACTTTCCTTCCTTGCCCTACCCAACCCGAGAGAGCCAGGTAGAGAAAATTAAGACATCTTAAACAGTATGGCAGGGCTGCAAAATCATGAATGTGCCTCACCCCCCTCATCCTGGCAGAACCCAGCAGAGGCAGTGGAGACAACTCCAAAAACACAGTGGGGCCAGCGACCGCTGGTAAAAAGGAGGTAGCTCTGGGAGCTCACAAAAGCAGTTTTCTACCATGAGCCACATATCCTCACCACAGTGGTAGTGCCCTGTAACCAAGGGAACGTGGTCACAGAAGGGACACCCACTATTCTACAGGGCACACAGTATTCTCCTTAATCAAAGTGATGCCACTTCACCATGATCCCAGAGGCACAAACAGTACAGGCCAGAGAAAACAAAAACTTGTGCTATTATACCACCTACTGGAAGACAAAAGGAGTACCCTGCCTACCAACCTACTGAATTGTTGACATCAAAACTGTATCTAAACAAAAAAAGAGCTCACTATCTCAAATGTGTAGGCAGAGAAAGAATGCATCAAATATGACAAACAACCAAGGTAACATGGGAGCACAAAAAGAAAATGAAAAGTCTCCCAAAAATCAAACTCAAAATCATGGAAGAGTGTGACTTAAATGACAGGTAATTTACAACTGTAGTTGTGAAGTTCAATGAGGTAAACAAACAAACAAACAAACAAACAAACAAAACACCCAATTCTCAAAAAGGCAGGTCAATGAGCTCAGGTAGAAAATGGACAATGAGAAGGAATACTTTACCAAAGAGACTGGAACTATAAAAAGGGACTGAATGAAATTGTGGAGCTGAAGAACTCAATAAATGAGGTGAGGAATGAATTAGAGAGCACTGGAAACAGAGGTCAGGTGGAAGAGAAAATTTAAAAAGTCAAAGATAGAAACCTAGAAATAACTACGAAGAAAGAAGAGAACTAAGAATTTTTTTTAAAAATGAAAGAACTCTGCAAGAATTATCTGACTCCATTAGAAAGAGCAACATAAGGATAATAGGTATACCAGAAGAAGAGAGGAAGAAAGGAACAGAGAGCCATTTGAACAAATAATCAATGAGAACTTCCCAAACCTATAGAAAGAGTTGGACCCTCAAATTCAAGAAGTTAACAGAACACCTAATTATCTCAATGCAAAAAGATCTTCTCTAAGACACATTATATTAAAGCTGTCAAAAGTTATGACAAAGAATTTGTAAGGCAGTCAGGGGAAAAGACTATAACCTACAATGGAAATCTCATTAGATTATCATCAGATTTTTCAGCAGAAACCCTACATGCCAGAAGGCAGTGGAATGAATTACTCAAGATATTGAAAGAGAAAAATCACCAGCCAGGAATATCCAGCAAAGTTATTCTTTAGATATGAAGGAGGAATAAAGGCCTTCTGTGACAGACAAAATCTGAGGATATCACAAGACCAGCAGTACAAGAAATGTTTAAAGGAGTGCTTCTCCCTGAAGCAAAAGTATATAAAACTTTAAGTAAGATAGAGAGAAGCAGCAAACTGTAACCCTGTTTCAGAATAGGGTATTAAACAATTATAGCATAAAGGTTAAAGAAAAAAAAAAGGCACTTAAAGAAGACTATCTTCTGTAATTTGGAAACAAATACACAGCATTAAAAGGAATAATTTGTGACAATAAAAACATAAAAGGGGAGGAGGAAGAGAGTGAATAGAGACTGCTAAATACTCAATGGTGAATAACTTTTCCTCTAAGTTCAGGAACAAGACAAGGATGACCACTTTCACCACTGCTATTCAACATAGTCCTGGCCAGAGCAATCAGGCAGGAGAAAAATAAGAGGCATCCAAATTGAAAATGAAGAAGTAAAAAAGAGGTTGCTATTTGCAGGTGACATGATTCTCTATATAGGAAACCCTAAAGATTACGTGTGCGTGCGCTCACTCTCTCTCTCTCTCTCTCACACACACACCCCTATTAGAAACAATAAATACAGTAAAGGAGCAGGATACAAAATTAATGTACAAAAATCTCTTGCCTTCCTATATATTAACAATAAAGTATCAGAAAGAGAAATGAAGGAAAAAAATTACATTTCTAATTGCAACAAAAAGGGATAAAATACTTAGGAATAAACTTAACAAAGGAAGTGAGGGACTTGTACACTGAAAACTACAAGACATTGTTGAAAGAAACTGGAGAAGACAAAGAAATGAAAAGATGTTCTGTTTTTATGGATGGGAAGAATTATTCTTAAAATGACCATATTACCTAAAGCAATATATAGATTTAATGCAATCCCTGTCAAAATCCCAGTGACATTTCTCATGGAAATAAAAGAAAAAAACCCCCTCAAATTTGTATGGAACCACAAAAGACCCCATATAACCAAAACAATCCTGAGAAAAAAGAACTCCCTAACTTCAAACTATACTGAAAAACTACAGTAATCAAAACAGTAAGATACTGGCAGAGAAAGACACACAGACAAATGGAACAGAATTGAGAGCCCAGACATAAACCCACATATATATGGGCAACTAAGTTTCAACAAAGGAACCAAAAACATACCATGAAGAAAGGAAAGTCTTCAATGGTGTTGAGAGAACTGAAAAGTTGCATGCAAAAGAACAAAATTAGGCTGCTGACACCATACAAAAATGAACTCAAAGTAAAGACTTGGATATAGACCTGGAACAGATGCTAAACTTTAGGACCTTGGTTTCAAAGAGGGGTTTGTGAACTTGACACCAAAGGCAAGAAAAATAAAAGCAAAAATAAATGAATGGGACTATAGCAAACTAAAAATTTTCTGCATAGCAAAAGAAACCATCTACAAAAGAAAAAGGGAACTAATCAAATGGGAGAACATATTTGCAAATGATTAAAATGATAAGGGAATAAAATCCAAAATATACAAAAAATAATTCAACAAGAAAAAACCCAAACAATCCGATGAAAAAATGGGTACAGGACCTGAATAGACATTTTCCTAAGGAAGACATACATATGACTAACAGATATATGAAAAATGTCCAACATCACTAGCTCTAAGGGAAATGCAAACCAAAGCTACAATGAGGTACCACCTCATACTGGTTAGAATGGCTATTATCAATAAGACAAGAAATAAATGTTGAAAAGGATGTGGAGAAAAGAGGACTCCCATACATTGCTGGTAGGAATGTAAACTGGTGCAGCTGCTTTGGCATAGAGCATGGAGATTCCTCAAAAATTAAGAATAAAGCTACCATGTGATCTAGCAATTCCTCTTCTGGGTATCTACCCCCACACAATTTGAAAAAACTATGTTCACTGAAGCATTATTTACAATACCCAAGACATGCAAACAACATAAATATCTGATGAATGGAAAAAGATGATGTGGTATATACATACAATGGAATACTATTTGGCCATAAAAAAGATGAAACATCACCATTTACAACAAGATGGATGGACCTTGAGATACTTATCCTAAGTGAAATAAATCAGACAGAAAAGAACAAGAAACATATGATTTCATTCATATGTGGGATAGAAAATAAAAAGCAACAAATGAACAAAACAAACAAACAAAAACAAACTCATTGATGCAGACAACAAAATGGTGGTTACCAGAGAGGAAGCAGGGGAGGACAAAGAAGGTAAAGGGGGTCAAATGCAAGGTGATGGAAGGAGGCTAGACTATTATTCACTTAAACTGTCTTCCACTGTACTCCTGTGGGATAGCTCACAAGCAGCAGTGGCCACAATTAAATTTGGTTGAACATTTTATTGACAAGATCTCAAATACAGAATTTTGTTTCTTTTTCATTTAAAAATTATTAATTTAAGTTGCACAAGACACATCTACTTGTTCAGCATAAAAAATTTCAAATGACATATATACTCTCTTGATACTTCTTCAATTGCAGCCCCTGCTCTTGAAGTCATACTGTCACTTTGGTTTGTGTTCGTCCCTCACCTATGTTTAAGTGTGTATATATGTTTGCCAAGGGAAATGTATGAAATTATTTTTTGATTTTCTATCTTAATAAAGGAAGTGGTCCACAACTTGCCACCCCCCACCCCGCCCCTTTAATCCTCATCCGAGGACATGCTTATTGATTTTGGAGAGAGGGAGGGAAGGAACCAAACCTGCAAACTCAGTTTATGGGACAATGCTCCAACCAGCTGAGCCATACCAGCCAGGGGCACAGCTTGCCTTTTTCACCCAACAGTGAGTCTTGGCAATTTCTCCATGTTGGCAGTCTCTCCATGTCAATGTGTAGAGACCTACCTCACTCTTTTTAACTGCTACATAGTAATTTTATAGTACAAATATGTCAGAGTTTATTCAGTCAGTTCCCTATTGGCAAGACTGAAGTTATTTCCAATGCTTCTGCTATAACAATAAAGATCTGAACATCCTTTGGACATCCTTGTACACACTTTCTGGTGCTGTTCAAGTCAAGTAAATTCCTGACATCAGTGGAAAGGGCTCTCTGCTCTGTCTTTTAAGTACATCCTCCTTTTTAAGGTTGATCTCTGTAAAGAGTACACTATGCTCAAATGTTAGACCAAACTTTACAAGTGATCTGCTCCCCGTAAGGCCATGACCTTCAGCTGTAAGTTTTTATGAAATTTATGGTAACACTGAGAGAGCAGAACCTATTCCCTTAGCTGTGGTCAGAAAACTTCCAAAGTTCAGCAGCGGTGGAACCCTGGGTTTTTCTGGTCTTGGTTTCAATGGGTCCTAGTTTCCTAGGATTTGAAGCGAAGGCCAGCAACTTCAGACTGAAGTTAGCTGGAGAATGGACAGATGATGGATACTTTCCACTCCGCTATGACTTGGGGGAAAAACACCCCAGAATTCCAGGGTCCTACAGAATATGGCATCTGGGGTGAATAATGTAGACATTGTCTTGATTTTTTTATGCTACTGTAATACAACCTTCCTGGACCTTCTTTAAGACGAATTTCAAGATGCCTTTATATGAAACCACCAGCTGTTCCCTTAGAAATACCTCCCAACTGGGGTGAGCAAAAGTTAAATATTCTACTTTCTCACAGAATATACTAGAGGGCTACTGTTAACCTTAAACATTGCTGCTTGTGGTATTCTTGCAAACTCCCTGGCAATATGCCCGAAAAATATTTAGACTTGGCAGCTGGGACAAAAGCCCCCTTTGCTATAGAAGAAGAAAAGAAAGATTGCCATGAAACTTGTCAGAGCAGCTCTTGAAGCAGTGAGTAACAGATGTAATGCCATGTGGTTTTCCATAGACTGAGACCACCATGATTCTAAGAAGCATTTCCCAAGAACTCAAGCAAGTGTATTACTTCCAAATGGTACACATTTTTGAGAAATGCACCTCATTTGAAGAGTGGTTCTATTACAGTTGGTATCAGCTTCTTTTGATACTCTACCCTCCTTTTCCCCCTAAACTTCTTTTTATTGTGGTAAAATACACATAGCATAAAATTTACCATTTTAAAGCATACAACTGAATGACACTTAGTAAATTCACAATATTGTGCAACTACCACTAACTCAAAATTCCAGACCATTTTCATCATCCCCAAAAGAAACCCTCTGCTCCTTAGCTATCATTTCCTGTTCCCCATTCCCACAACCCCTGGCAACCACTAATCTATTTTCTATCTCCGGAGCTTGGACTGTTCTGGACATTTCATATAAATGAAATCATACATTACGTGGCCTTTTGTGACTGGTTTCTTTCACTGAACGCAATATTTTCCAGAATTATCCATGTTGTAAAAACGTATCAGTAATTCATTTCTTTCTTTTTTTGTGGTAAAATACACGTAACAAAATCTATCATTTTAACTACTTTTAAGTGTACAGTTTAGTGGTTATTAAATACATTCACATTGTTATATAACCAACATCCATCTTAAAGCTATTTTCATCTTATAAACTGAAATTCTGTACTAATTCTGTACTAAATAACAATTCCTCCAAGTCCCCTAACCCTCAGCCCTTGGCAACAACCATTCTACTTTAATTTTTTACACCTGGATCCTTCATGCTAACCTGGATGTCGCGGGCCCGTTCATAGGACTGATAGGCAATTTTCTCTTCCATGCTGGCTAATTCCTGCTTCAGGTTCAAGATTTCATTCTGGTGGAGCTCTGTTAGGTCATTTAGTTGTTCTTCTAATCGTTCACATCTAGGAAGGAGGGGAGAAGTTATAATTTTAGGCATTCTGTATTTTTCCTGGTATTATTCACATCCAATACCCCAAACTCATTCTGCAAAGTAAGAAAATAAAAGCACAAAGAAATTGAGTGGCCTGGGTTACCAGGGCATGTTAGCGGGTACAGCATGTCCCTGCAATGGACAGCTTATCACAGGGCCATATCACAGCAGCAACATCTCTTCTACATTCTTCTTCATACACAGTATTTGCAGTGATGCAAGCAGCCCTGGTTAGCTTACAGCATACCTATAATATATGAGGCAGTTCTTATTCTCTTCTGAGCAGCAAGTGGGATAGGCAAAAACTAGAGTACAATTAAGCGGTCTCATCAAAAGATAAAGAACATACAAATGGAAGTTGACCAAGCAGTCACCACTAGCTTATTCTGACATTGGACAGGTTACTAGCCTGAATGTTGATGATTCAGAGCCCATCATTCCCATGGCCAAGCACAGTGTCTGGGACATCTCAGTCAACAAATATCTACTGAAAGTGTGATGTGTGTCAGGTATGTTCAAAGTACTGGGAATATCATGGTAAGCAAGATAGAAATCCTGCCCTCAGGAATTTATATTCTAAAGTAGGAGGTAGAGGAGAGGGAAGGAGAGGCAGAAAAACCAAGATGACTGCAGATATGGAAAAGTAAACCAAATAAGTTTGGTTATACACCAGAGTGCCTGCTAGCTGGTTAAACTGGAATGGTCAGGGAAGGCCTCTTCCCTATTCAGCACTCTTCAACAACAAGAAGTGAAACTTGAATGATGTTATATAAACAAGTGCTAGGAAGATGGGGTTGGTGGGCATCTTAAAGCAGAAGAAATAGCAAGTATAAAGTCCTTAAGATGGCAGCAAACTTGGCAGGTTTGATGGACAGAATGTAGGCCAGTGTGACTACAGCTTAGTAAAATGTAGGGAGATGATATTCTTTGGAAGCAGGGATCATTTTAATTAATTAATTAACTTCTTATTGTTAGTCCTCATCTAAGGATATGTTTTTATTGATGAGAGAGGGGGGGGGGGGGGAGAGAGAGAAAGAGAAAGAAAGAAACACAGGTGTAAGAGAGAAACATCAATTAAGCTGCCTCCCATATGTGCCCCGATTGAGGCTTGAACTCATAACCTCGGTATGTGCCCTGACTGGGATTGGACTGGCGACCTTTTGGTGTCTGGGATGATGCTCTAACAAACTGAGCCATCCAGTTGGGGTGGAAGGAGGGATCATTTTAATTCATCTAGTATCTCTAGCACTTAGGACTACATATAAGAAAGTTTATTCTGCATAGAGATAGAACCTGGGCAGGGCATCTAAGGGTCAATAGGACTGGAACAAGTTTAAAGGATGAGATCAGAAATTCCAGGTGGAAAGAACATGGGAAAAGGGAAGGAGGTAGAACGTATTGAATAACTGAAATAGTGGATCTATGATGGAGGAAATAAGGGAAATTTGGCCTTAAAAGACAGTCAGGGGAGTGGGGATTCTATAGACAGTACATGGGTCCAAAGCAGATTGCTAAAGTGGGAGAGGGTGACATGATGAACACAGTGTTTTAGGAAAACAGGTAGAGGTGAGGAGGACAGACTGGTGTAGGTTGTGTGTAAAGTCCCAGGAATCAAACAAATAGCTACACAGGTAGGAGGAAGGTTGAAGACTACACATTTAAAAACACTAGAAAGGAGCCCTGGCTAGTGTGGCTCAGTGGACTGAGCACCAGCCTACAAATTATTAGGTCTCTGGAGACCTGTGGGGTCTCCCATTCAATTCCCAGTCAGGGCACATGCCTGTGTTACAGGCCAGGTCCCTAGCCTGCATGTGTATGAGAGGCAACTGATCAATATATCTCTTACACTTCGATGTCTGTCTCTCTCTCTCCCTTCCCATCTCTTTAAAAATAAAGTCTTAAAAAAAAGAAAAAAGACTAGAAAGGAAAGAATAAATACATCTCCAGCTTATGGTGACTAGAATGGAAGGCTCTCTCTCAGACAGAGGGCTCATCCCAAAAAGAGAATATATTAGCACTAAACACTACTCAGGCAAGCACATACCTAACACTAGCACATGAGCCTCAGAGAACACTATTGAAATAAAAATAAAAGTGCTGGAACAAATGCAAACATTTAAAACTACTCTCCCCTTTCCCTTGCTTTTAAACACATCTATAGTGCACAAACTTTTAAGAAATACACGGGGTCCTGGCCAGGTAGCTGAACTGGCTGGAGCATTGTCCCATACACCAAAAAGCTGTAGGTTTGATTCCCGATCAGGGCACATACCTAGGCTGCAGGTTTGATCCCCAGTTGGGGTGTGTATGGGAGGCACTCAATTGTTCTCTCCCCTCCTCCCCCACCTCTTCCCTTCTCTAAAATCAATAAACATATCCTTGGGTGAGAATTTAAAAAAAAAGAAAAAAATACATGGAAGTTCTTTTTTTAAGGAAATTATTCTATTGCAGCACCACGAACATTGTAGCTCCAATAATCATATAAGTAACTATATCCTAAACTTCATTATTTTTCTAAGAAACACAGGCTTTTTAAAAAAGGCATAGTCTGAATCTTTTTACTGTTTTTGAATCCTACTTTGTTCTCCTTCATCCTTGATAGGAATCCGTATTTCTTTCTTTCATGATGAAACTATGTTACTACAGTGACTGAACAGAGTGAGCAAAAAGGATCTCCACCTTTTTGTCTGTAACAAGGGCCAACATTTCCTGTGACTCTGCCTTTTCACTTCATCTGCTGCTCAGGGCATGTGCTCAAAAACAGGTGCCACCTTTGGAATTGATTTTCCACCAAATTTTAAGTTCACCAAATGCCATGAGATTAACATATTGTCTTTTTATGAAATAAAGCTCAATATTTTAGGGTGATTTTCAATTTTATTAATTTACTGATTTAAGAGAGAAGGGGGAAAGAGGGAGAGGGAGGGAGAGAGAGAGAGAGAGAGAGAGAGAGAGAGAGAGAGAGAGAAACACATTATTTTGCTGTTCCTCCTACTTATGCATTCACTGGCTGATTCTTGTTACGTGCCCGGAAGGATTGAACCCACAACCTTGGTGGATTGGGATGACGTTCTAACCAACTGAGCTACCTGGCCAGGGTTATACTGTTTTTAGTTTTTGATGATTTTCATTATTCTTTCTCTCCACCAGAGTATTTAAGAGAAAGGCTGGGCCTGGCAAAAAATAACTCTCCCAGACTAAGAATTGATGTTGGTGGCAGGGAGGGGACCATGAAGTGGGGGCAACCAGTCTGCATGTTAATGAAAGCAGACCCATGTGACATCTTTGGCATGTGTTCCATAGGCTACTGCCCCAGCCTCTTGGTCCGCAAGTTGTGTAGTCTTTAAAGGAATGTTCGGGAATCTTATTTGATATTAAAAATGGCTCACATACAACATTAGATCAGATCAAAAAGTAATAGCAACTGGTGTAGCAGAGCTACCATTTATTCAGTGCTTTCTATAAAAATTCATTTCCACAACCCCAAGAAGGGAATAGTTATTATCTTCACTTTACAGATGAGAAAACTGAAGCTCAGTGAGATACAGGGACTTGCCCAGGGCACACAGAAACTAAGTAAAGGAAGCTAGGGTTTGAATCCAAGTTTGTTTGACTTTAAAACCCAAGTATTTTATTTTACTTTAATTTATTTTTTAGAGTGAGGGGAAGGGAAGGGGAAAGGGAGGAAGAGAAATATTGATGTGTGAGAGGAACATCGGTCAATCGCCTCTTGCATGCCTCCGATCGGAGATCTGGTCCACAACCTAAGCATGTGTCCTGATCAGGAATCAAACTGGCAACCTTTCACTTTGCGGACAACGTCCAACCACTGAACCACATGAGTCAGGGCAAAACCCAAGTTTTTAACCTTTATACTGTGATGACACTCTGGAACTACTCAAGAAGCCCAGATAGGCTAAGTCCCTTTATAAGAAATCTGTCAGGTCTATAGCTGATCCAAATCACATGGCTACAAAGGGAGATGGAAAATATTGTACTGACATGATGGTTTGGAGCTTGATGGCAAGATGGAGTCAATGGGAGCAAGGGTGTAATAAAAAGATTATGAACCTGAAATAAAAGAATAACAAGTGTTGGTGAGGATGTGTAGAAATTTGAACCCTGGTATATTGCTGGTGGAAATGTAACATGGTACAACTGCTTTGGAAAACAGTCTGGCAGTTCCTTAAAAAGCTAAATTTCTGATCCAGAAATTGCACTCCAGATATACATCAAAGAGAAATGAAAACTTATTTTCACACAAAATATTGCACACAAATGTTCAAAGCAGCATTGTTCACAATAGTCCCAAAGCAGAAACAATCCAATGTTCATCAACTGATGAATGGGTAAATAAAATGTGGTATATTCATAAAATGAATTATTTGGAAAGAAAAAAAGTAATGACACATGCTACAATATAGATGCACCTTGAAAATACTATGCTAAGTAAAAGATGCCAGTCAGAAAGGGCTACAAATTGTATGATTCCACGTATATGAAATGTTCAGAATAAGCAAAGCTACAGAGACAAAAAGATTAATGATTACCAGGGGCTGGGCAGGATTGGGAAGATCAAAGGTTGATGAAAATGTCCTAAACCCTGGCTGGTATGACTGAGTGGACTGAGTGTTGCCTGCAAACCAAAAGGTCACACACTGGTTGATTTTCAGTCAGGGCACATGGCTGGGTTGGGGGTGTGAAAGAGGAAACTGATCAATGATTCTATCACACATTGATGTTTGCCCCCTTCTCTTTCTTCATCCCTCCTCTCTCTCTAAAAAATTCATAAAATCTTTAAAAAAATTGATTATGGTGATGGTTGCATATATTTGTGAATATACTAAAAATCACTGATTTGTATACTTTAAATGGGGGAACTGTACATGAATTATATCTCAATAGAACAAGAAAGATTAAGGATGTTGGTAATGTACTTTGAAATGCGTTAGACAATAAGACAGATGTGGG